AGTAGGAGGAGAGGAGACGGAGTTAAGGAGGATGAGGAGGACTGAGGAGGAGAAGGAGGAAAAGGAGGAAGGAGGAGGAGGACAGGATGGAGGAGGGGGAGTGAGGTCAGGGCGTGCGAGCAGAACAGCGGGGCCCCTCAGGGCCGCTCGTGCCGCCCGAATCCCAGATAGATAGAGTGGGTGGGGGGGGGGGGAGCAGCGCGCGTGACGCGCCGCCCGCGCCACTGAGCGGGGGACCGGGGAGCGGGGGAGGGAGAGAGCACGAGAGGCGAGGAAACGGAAACGACTACCTACATCTGGGTCGCGAGGCGCGGTGGAGGCGGGTGTCGCGGAATGGATAAGAGGATTGGGAAGGAGCGGGGAGGGCACAACGGGAGAGGGAGAGAGAGAGAGGCAGCGTGAGGCGGGAGGGAGGGAATTGTGGAGAGAGGAGAGGGATGGCGAAGGGCGAGAAGGGCAACGAAAGAGGTGTGCAGGCGGCGGGGGGGGGGGCGAGGGCGAAGAGCGAAGAGGCGAGTTGGAGTCGGAAGGAGACGGGAAAGAACCGGGGGCCGCGCCCACAACGGAATGCAACAGATCTGATGCCCATCTCAAGGTTCCACGACCCAGGCCTCCGATGCTGAACTCTCAGCGCGCGGGCCCCGGACCTTTCGACCCCTTCCCGGGGAGCCGTTTCTCGTCCCGTGTCGTGTCGACCGTCGGGGAAGACCAGCAACGGACCCCCGAGGCCGAGCTTCTGGCAAATCGCTCGCCTCGAAAACATCACCACGCCGGACACTCGAGCTCCTCATCGGAAACCTGCCCCCCCCAGTCAGAACTGTCCAGGAGTGCTCTCCGGCCAGATGTTCAAGGCGGATCCAGCCGTGGCCAGGACGGCGATCCAGGAGGCACCAAACTACCCCTCCCCCCAAAAAGTTCCTCGATCCTGGATGCTCGAGCACCTAGATCAAAAATACCCCCCGACAAATTAGCCTGGCGAAGACTCCAACAATTGTTTCAAAACACGGGGCAACTACAAACAGGACCGCTCACTACACGGAAACACATGAAGGGATCTGCATTAACCCTGAAACGCTTCGCCAGCCAACGTCGGACTACGCCCAGCGTCACCCATTCACGCACGCACTCTCACGACGCACACTGGAAACGAGGACGACCACGAAACGTGTGCGAGGCGTGCCGAAATGGTCCGAGGCCGCCATGGGGACCCTGCCACTGGGGCCCACGGTGGAGCTCCCGAGGGGGCCACGAAACGAGGGTGCGCCGAAATGGCGTGGGTAACCATGCGGATTGTGCCACTGGGGCCTTCGATGGAGCTCCCTAGGGGCCACGATGCGTTGGACGGGTGTGCCGAAATGGCGCGGGTTAACCATGCGGACTGCGCCACTGGGGCCTTCGGTGGGGCTTCCTATGTGGCCAAAAAACCTGTGAGGAACGTGCCGAAATGGCGCGGGGAACCATGCAGACTGTGCCACTGAGGCCTTCGGTGTAATTCTCTAGGGGCCACGAAACGAGCGAGGGTGTACCGAAATGGCGCGCGCGGGAAACCATGCGGATTGTGCCTCTGGGACCTTCGGTGGACCTCCCGAGGGGGCCACGAAACGTGACAGAGGTGTGCCGAAATAGCGCGGGTAACCATGCGGGCTGCGCCACTGAGGCCTCCGGTGGAGCTCCCTAGGGGGCCACGAAACGTGCGAGGGTGTACCGAAATGGCGCGGCTAACCATGCGGACTGCCACGAAACCTGCGAGGGGTGTGCCGCAATGGCGCGGCAAACCATGTGGACTGTGCCACTAGGGCCTTCGGTGGAGCCCCCATGGGGCCACGAGACGTATGAGGGATGCGCCGAAAAGATGATGACAATGATGATGGTGACAACGAGTATGAAGATGGATGTTTCTAAAGACGATGATGACGACCACGGCGATGATGATGCCAAGGGCGAGGAGAAGATCCTGATAATGATGATGGTGATGACGGCGATGATAGGCTGATGATGCTGATGATGATGATGAAGACAACGGTGATGATGATGAAGATGATGGTGATGCTGATGATGGTAATGGTGGTGATGATGAAGATGATGATGCTGATGTGTACGATTGTGCAGGCCTGGCAACCCCTGCGTAGCTCTACCTTCCACCTCTCTGCGCGCTGCCCTTAAAGCGCACGCGTCCCCGGGGGGCATCCCGACTCATAGTGCGGGCGCTGTCCCCCAGGGGGTGCACATATGCAGATAAGGCTCTCTGGTACGATCATCCCTCTCTCAGGTTATCAGTCGTTGTTGCTTTGCCCGCTGCGCCATGTGAACGTCGTCGACAGTCTCGGTAGGAAGTTACGTTAACGAAGTTGCATACGTGGTCAACACGCGGATATTCAACTTTTCCTGCGCGGAGGAGATATTTCCAAAGTTCTTCTGCTTGTTTTCTACTCATCCATTGTCCTGTTGTTGTCTCCATCCATCTAATGTTTTCGCTGCTCCCCATCCATGTGGCCATCCC